CCCGGTGCTAGCGGGGGGCACAGCCTATTGGGAATAGTGTTGTCACCTGCCACCCAGCTTCGCGGGCTCGGTGGCGGTGACAGTCCTTCGTCCCGTGGGAGGGGAAACAGATGGCCACGGCCGGGCTCTCCCCCTCTCGCGGCTTCTCCCAGCTCCTCCCCGCTTCCCCCCTGCCCCGGTGCCTCCGCCGTAGCTAATATCACGGTCCTCGGTGACGTAAAGTCGCGGGCCCCGGCGCCTGGCCTACCCTACCCTACCAAGGCCCCCCTCCCCCTGCCTCAACAGCCCGCGGTGCTGGCGGGTCGATACCGCGGCCGGTGACGACACCCACGTACAAACTGTTGCTTCGCACAATTCCGCGCGGCGCTCAGCCCCGCGCAGGAGGTCGCCCAGCGGCACCCCCGGGCTGCGTGAGAGTCGCGCTGCCCGTCACTTTCGCCGTCGTGGTGGCGTGCTCCGGTGCTTTCGGAGGCGCGCGTGGCCGCCGCCGGTGGGGTTGGGTGGCGTCCCCGTCACCGCAGCCGCCCCCTCCCTCTTTTGTGCTTGAAAGAGGAGGGGAGGGAATTCTGTGGCCTATCGAACTCCCCTCTGTCACGCTGCTGATGCGTGCATGTGTGCACAGGCGAATAGGAGGGTGGAGTGACGAAAAGGGGTTAGCGTAATCCGTACGAGCCTGGGGAAATGAGGGTTGCTCTTTACTTTAAAATATCATTGTGTATTCGTCCCCTTATTGTCAACAGATGAATTGATTGGTGAAATGAATTGTATTTTAAGGTGCTGCTGCCCGCGTCCCACGGCCTGCTTGACGCCCGGAGGACAGTGCTGTACTCGCCCCAGGGTCAGGTGCGTATGTGTCCCTCCTGTGAACCCGGCTTTACCTAGCCTCGTATACATGCCCTACTCACGGCCTTCTTGTTCAGGACTCGGCGCGCGCGCCACCCGTGCTGCTGCTGGCGGCGGCGAGCGCACCCGAGCACCACGAGACGGTCGTCGTGAAGGAGGTGCCCGACCCGGGGCCGGTCACACCACTACCAGCCATCGTGGAGGCCGGCGAGCAGCACAAGAGCAGCCCGAAGGAGACGCAGGCAGAGGAGGTCACAGAGAGCCCGGACGACAAGTCCTCTGAGAGTCTCAAGCTGGCCGAGGCGACAAAGAAGGACGATCGCCAGGAGAGCAAAGACGCCGAAGGAGCGGCCGAAGAGGCTGATCACGGGGACGCGTTGGACGAGGAGCACGGCGGCGACGCGCACGAGCAGGGCAGACTGCAGCAGGACGCGCACCACCAGGACGACGAAGAAGAGCAACTACGCGAGAAGGACGCCCAAGAGGACGCGTCCGATGAGGACGGCGCGTACGAGGACGACGCCGACAAAGAGGCGCTCGAGGACGCTGATGACGACGAACGTAAGGACGAAGACAGCGCTCCGGCGGTGGAGGCGAGGGCGGCGGAGGCCGACGGTGACGCCGAGGAAGCTGACGATGCCACAGGGGAGCGGCACGTAGACGACGAGGTTGCCGAGGGGTCGTCGTCTAACGGAGAAGACGAGGACGGTGGTGTCGTTGCAAGGGGAGGTGCCGCCACGGATGAGCAGGGCGAGGACGATGAGGACAAGCAGGCACCCGTCGAGGGCGACCACGACGGCGATGCGATGGCCGCTCTGAAGGATGCGAGCGAGGATGAACACACGGCCGAGCCTGACGGGGAGAAGGTCTCGGTGGTGGGCGACGGGGAGGCCAAGGCCTCGGTGACAGACAATGGGGAGGAGAAAGGCGCACTGACGGACGACGGGGAGGAGGAGGCCACGATGACGAATGACGGGGAGGAAAAGGGCTCGGTGACGGATGACGGGGACGAGAAAGTGCCCATATCGGACAAGGACGACGGGAAATCCCATGAGATAGAATCACCGGCCGCTCTCAAAGACGTTTCCTCAGACGAGGACGCCGCCGAAGACACCGATAAAGGTGCAGAGCAGCAGGATGACGAAGTGGGCGAACTGAAAGAGCCCCGCGTCACCGAGGCCCCGCGTGAGGGCGCTGGTTGGAGCTCCCCGTCGGCCTCGCCGCTGAGCTCGCCATTAGGCTCCCCGTTGCGCTCCCCGTTGGGCTCCCCGTTGGGCTCCCCGTTGGCCTCGCCGCTGGGCGCGCGCCTCCCCGCGCACTTGGCGCAGTCGTGGTCCGCAGGCTGGCGCTGGCCCCCGCGCTGGGCGCCCGGCACGGGCCACGACCAGCCGCCGTCCGAGATGGTCGAGGTGCCCGCCGTGTTCGGGGTGGCGCGCGACTACCGCCGCCTGGGGATGCGGGCGGCCTACGTGCCGCTGCCCCACAAGGAGCGCGCCAAGCGCCACATCAACGGGCACCTCGACGACCTGTACGGTGAGCTGGGCGGCGGGCGGATGGGGCGGCCCCAGCCCCTCGGCTGGTTACGGCGACCACTGTGATTCGGCTCGACTAGCCGACTTTCTTGCTCTCAATAATTAAACCATTTCTATCCCCAAGCCGCTCTTTCTCTCTCTTTATTGAAGCCTCTCCCTCTCTGCCCTTGTAGACGGCCTCTTCCGCGACGCCGGGTACGACGGCCTGGAGGAGGCCGGCAACCAGGACTACCACGAGGTGGCCGACAAGGGCAGCCACGGCCACGAGGACCACAAGAGCTCCGACGAGGAGAAGGGAGGCAAGTGGGAAGACGATGCGGACCAAGGTGAGAAAAAGGGCGGCTCGCACGAGCTGTCGGAGGGCCACTGGGCGGACGGTGGCCACCACGGCGGCAAGCACCACCACGACTCGGACAAAAAGGTGTGTTGTCTCGGGCTGTACCGCCGGGGGGCAGGCGAAGGGTACTGCACTCGCAAAAGCAGGAAAAAGCAGAAAAAAAAATCAGATTTAAGGGGGCATCCTAGTGTAGCAGGCCTAAAAATACGTGTTTTTTTGCGATTTTTTAAAAAAGAAATGGAAGCAACAGAGGGAAAACGAGGTTTGCTACATAAAAGTACACATCTTTCTCTGTCCAAAACTGCTAAAAAGTTGACCAACGCCTCACGCATACCGGAGAAACGGCCTGCGAGAAAAGACGCGTCGCGAATGTCGTGGACGCATGGCGTGCAC